TTTGCAAAAAAAAAAAAAAAAAATTTCAGGTGCTGCTGGACTGTCATTTTTAAAAAATATCAAACTTAACCAAAAAGTCTGGAAGCATTGTATATATTATAATATCAAGCTGTACTTGAATGTTGAATCATAATCCAAATCTCAACACATAAACAGTCTCAGTACCCCTATTGAGAAACAAAGTCTTTATAACTTTACCATTGAAAGGAAATTTTTAACAAAGTCAAATGAACAAGAGCTCATTCAACTGCAGCCAAGTGTTGTTGCTGCTGCAGTCGTGCCAAGTTCTGGACACTGGCATCAAATGAAGTTGTCTGTGTAGTGTGCATGTGCAGTGCTTAGCCTTAGTCTGTTAGCCACAGATGCCGGCTTGCCATTAACTTAGGTAGTTAGAGATGCATTTCCCATATCCAGTTGTCCACTTTATGAGCATTTGTCATTCAAAAACTCAAACCAAAATGCATATGAATATTTCTGGTTCACATTTCTTATATTGACTGTCTGACCCTGAATAAAAGAAAAGAGACCTGTTTGTTTGCTGTTTGCAACCTTGTCACTTGTCAGCTCTGCCCAATTTTATATTCTAACCACTAACCAGGTTAAGCTGTTAAGCCATTAAGGCACAAAAATGCAGGAAACTTGACAGTTGTGTCTACTTTATGGCTTATGCTCATGAAAAATTTCTAATTTGGCCATACCTAATTTTCATATAAGATATCAAGTAAAAAAGAACATTTTCACTCAAGATTTTTAAAATACCTAGGTACCTAATTTGACTAGCCTAATGCCTGTAAACTGAGTAAATAATCTAGGTTTACTACCAGTCTTATTTACTACCAGACTACCAGTGCAGCAGTATTTGAGTATCACTCAGTCACTCTTGCTCACTGTACCTACTTGTTACCTTGTACGGTTGTACCAGTCTCACTAGTCACTCACTACTAGTCTGAGGCTCTGAGCTGCATGACCAGCACTCCAGCTGTCCAGCAGCAGCACCAGCATTATTGGTTTATTGCATTAGTCTGATTAGATTTAGAGAGTAGCGAGTGCAGTTCAGCTTGCAAAACGGTAGATATATAAATGTAAATAAATAAAAGCTTAGTATATTATCTCAATATAATTTACACTAATATGTAGTTTGCACGGCAATATGTCATAATTGTACGCCATATGTGAGAATGTTCGATACAGGCTAAAAAAGAGCAAGTCTGCGACGAGGATAGATGTTTACAGACGCTGATGTTACTACCGCGAAAGCAGAGGAGTTAAAAATCTTTTGGGATTCCGCGTAATGAAATAGGGAATTCAAAGATTTAAACCTCCCAATGTGTGGAAATTAGAATCTACAAATAAATTGTCGATTTTAAAATTCGTAGATTGACATTTTTGATAAATCACATGGGAAGTTTATTAAATCACTAAAAATATCAATGTAATGCGTGTGAATTAGAATACAATAGCAGTGTCGGCACTGAAGAAATAGGCCCATGGCCTGTTGCCGATTCTTGTACTTTTCGTGACTTGATTCACAAGGGATCCTGCCTTTGGAACCCGATCTTTCCATAACTGACGATTGATTGAGATAGCTGCTGGACCTGTCTCTTATACACATCTAGGCTAGGCATTTTAAGACTGAACATATGCTCCTGCATAGCTTCGTCTAGTCTGTTCATAAGGCCTATTCTGCCCATTCTTCCCGTCCAGCTTCCCACCTTTCCAATTGCTGTCAAATAATTTCCACAAATTATTCTTCCCACTAAAAGTGTTCACCACAGTGAGCGTTAAAACCTCAGCTCGGCAGTTTATCTCTCTGAACGTAACGAGCATTTTGTGCGTTTAATTGTCTATAC